GTCTGTTGTTAATTCCTGGAAATCCTCTACCTACAACTGTCTTCTCCATTCTTTCTCCTTTTTGTCTTTCAGCTTTTCTTGTCTTGCAGTGATTGCTTGATTATTTGTTTTTAGCAACTCCCAACCAGCGTTATCAACTTTGTTCCCTTACACCATTGTCTAAATTATTTACTGAGATTAACAGCATTCTTTCAGTAACAATACTTTGTCAACACAGATAAAACTGAGTTTTTCCAGTTTTGTAAGACATGTTGCTTAAAGAGTAACTARTTGTTGGGCCTTAAGGGTATTATCTTTATATTCCTCTGCAAATTTTTAACATTTTTATGTAAATGTCTTTAATTCTGCAATGTTTGATCTAAGACCTAAATAGCTAKCTAGAGTCAGCTTGTTTGGTTTACATATAAACTGTTTATGCTGCTTGACAGGTTCTTTCTGTTTAAAGTTAATTTCTGTCAATATCTCACCAGGTGATGTAAAATATTTCTCTGAGAGACACCAGACAGGCGTGAACACATTACTGATTACAACGAAACATTTCTAACGTTAACTCATTTTCTAAAAGTATGAACATTTATTTGTTGAACTGAGCTGCTTATTTTATTTTTAAACTACAAAATAAAAGTACTCAAGCATACCCGACTTGTCAACATATTTTGTAGTTGATGAGGAGTTTTTGTCTCTTTGCTGAAATATATTTTGACTCTTTGAAGAAGTCTGGAGATCTGTTTGTTGTTTTGGACTGCCTTGCTCTGCTCTTTGAGGTATATGTTATAGTTACACTTTTTAGATGATGTTTAAGTCGCTCGCATGTTTTGAGATCATCATCCAGTAAACAAAGTCATTACTGTGACTTCTTCGTTTTGTAGTTTGATTCTGAGTTAAAGATGAGCAGATCAGGATCTCTACAATATTCAGTCACACATGTTGGGTGACCTTCAGAAAATGTAGTGAAAGATTCTCCTGATAACTTTTCCATTTTCATTACACCCACTCATAAGTGTTTCATCCAAGTTGTGTTTTTAAGAAAGACGACTCCTGAGAGAATAAATCTCTTTTTTATTAGTTTGTTACCCATCTAAAAGTACATTTAAACATTTTTGTCCTCATGGAGATGATGATGCTGGTGATGGTTTTGTTTCCACAGTGACGTTTACCTCGAGTCCTCCTCTGATCCTTCGATGTCCTGAAATGTCACGAGACGAGTCAGTTTCATTAAAGCTCATCTGGGTTCAGGACTTCATTTTATTTTAGAACTGATCCCAGACAGAAGTTCACTCATTAAAATAAAAACCTTGAACATAAAATAAGATTTAATTTATGTCAGTATTAAATCTTTGTTTTGAATCTACTGTATATCAGTACTTTCTATACAAATGAACCAGCTTTTGACTTCAGAGGCTTCTCTGCTGATGATTTTCAAAATAAAACTCTGATCTGACAGGTCTCACCATGGGCTCCTGAGTCCGAAGGGCTGAGATGTGTTTCTGATACGCAGCTATAATACAGTCTCTCCTGCAAAAAAGAAAAAAAAAAAGATAGTTCAAAATGTATCCACTTTGGTCACCATTCCCGGTGGGACAAAGTCACTCACTTGCTGGTGATGCCTCCCCCCGGTGGAAGCCCCGGGATCTCTTCTTCTGCCAGGAATTTAATAACATACAGAAGGTCGGGGTCCTCATCCTTGGACCTCATCATCTGGATAATTTCTGTCGAGGGACAGGTTTTTTTTTTTTTAAAATTCTGGATAATTTCTGTCGAGGGACAGGCTTTTTTTTTAAAATGTGATTGTTTAATCATTTTTAGTGTTTAGTAATTAACTCTGGAACAGCCAATCACCTTCCACTTTCATGTCAATGTGTTGTTCCAGCTCCGCCTCCTGCTGCAGCGCCTCCTGTGACACCTGAGGGGCGCCGGGGAAACACACGATGATGACGCTGATGTTGTCCAGGCTGCCCTGCAGAGGGAGACACGGCACTTTCAGTTTATGTCCAGAACACAGATGGAAAATACAGAACTCCATCCAACACAGGTGGAAACTGTGATTACAYCAGGTCACTTTTATTTTAACTTTTGTTTTTCAGATATACACTTTTTAATTAATCACATTCATGTAATCCTTGCAGGTTCAAGTTTATTCTTTTTATTTTAATATTACAAAATTTCCTAATAACAATAACCTAAAGCTGATACAATATCCTGTAAATGAAGGTATCGGCTATATAAATATATCAATTATACTTCCATAAACAATATTTTGGTGCTTTTTTTTATTAATATTTCTGCACACATTTATAAACAATCTAGAAAAAAAGACTAGTTTTCTAAGTTGTTCAGGTGGTCAGATTTAAGGTCTGACCACCTGTGTGTTTAAGCTCCTCCCATTGTCCTCTCAGCACAAATCACGTTCAAACAGCAGCAACACAGACCGCACGTTTGGCAAAGTGGATGTTTATTTTCAGTTATTGGTGGAACAGTTTAAGGAGGAAAATCTGTTATTTCCATTAACTGAGGAGAATTGCTGTTTGTTAAATTTGTCTGGAACAGACTGCCACCATCTCCTACAGGTGAAGCAGGAACGTGTCCCTACGCTGCCCGGGGGGAGGTCAGGTCTTCCTGGTCAGCACAGCCACGGGAAGCTGCTTGTGCCTTCGTAGTCTGGCTGTATTTTCTAACAGACTCGGCCAGCTGCTGAGCAGCTTACTGCGGCCACTTCTCATAAACAAYCTCAAAAAACTCACACATCTCTTAGTGAGTTTTGTCAAGAGTCAATGCACAAGACGGGGTCTCAGCGGGGGAGTGCGAGAAGAAAAACGCACAATTTTAGTCGTGCAGTTACGCCAACAGACAGTTTTTCACCCCTCGTGGACTAGTGTTTTAGCTAATTAGCTGAATTATTATCGTACATGGGAAAACTTTAACAAAATATCAGTATATTAGTCAGTTTCAACACGTTTGATCAGTCTGTATGTTTTGGACGATGCACGTGCTCATGGCTCAGAGTGTACTGGAACATGCAGTCTTTCAGCAGGAACGGTAAGCCTTTTTAGATGAAATAAATAGCAGCTCATGGAGGTCAGGATTAAGCCTCTGAAGAGGCGCTCGTCATCACACTCGCGTGTTAATCTCAGACGTGTGCAGATTTTCCAGCACCAGCCTCATGTCCCAGGATTCCACAGTGCAGCTATTCGTAGGTCAGGGAAAGGGCTCATTAGTATTTAGATGTACTACAACAGTTACATAATACAAACAAAATAACTCATTTATTTCTATTTCTTTTATTACATACTCCAGTGTTTTCCAGTATTTGGATCTTTCTTGTTACTTTTTCAAAATACACTACCWAAAGGCCTAATCTACATTTTTATTTATCCACCCAACTAATCACAAAACTCAAATGTCACTGCACATTGGTTCTGGGTTGTGTTTGTGTGTTGAGGTTTGTTTTCTCACCTTATAGAGACAGAGGTCAATGACTTGTGCGCAGATATCTCTCAGATCATCGCACACTTGCAGACGGTTGCGCACAAACGCGCACAGTTCCTCGTTCCCAATGGCGTCCCACACGCCGTCGCACGCAAGAATCAGGAACTCGTCTTCTTGCGTCCTCGCCAGCTCGTACACCTCCGGCTCGGGGGACACGAGCTGCTCCGTCTGTGGCCTCCAGTCCACCTCCTTGAAGTCAAAGTCTCCCAGCGCCCTGGAAACGGCCAACGAGCCGTTGATCCTCTGCAGGGTCACCGAGCCCCCTGCGTTCTGGATCCTCTCCTTCTCTCTGGGGTTGAAGGGCTTGTGGTCCTCCGTGTAGAAGACCACCTGGCTGTCATGGCAGAGCAGAGTGCGCGAGTCCCCGCAGTTGATGAAGTAGATGTAGCGTGGCGAAATCATGACAGCCGCCGCCGTGGAGCCGCTTCGGTCCCAGTTGTCCTGGCGAGCCAGTTTGTGCATGTGTCGATCAATGTCTAGGAATCCTT